AAGAGATAGAAAAGTAATTTAGGAAAAAAAACAAAAACAAAAATTTTAAATTAATAAGGTTAAAATGGAAATGTTAAAATTAATAAAAAAATTAACAAATCGTTAAAATTAACAAATCAAAACAAACCAAAATTTTATTTGAAATATTTTAATAATAAAAATAAAATTTGTGAACAAAAATATTGTAAATTTGCGAATAAAATTTTTACAAAAATTTTAAGAAATTTAAAAATTAAGAAATGTATATTTGAAAATAATAATAATTTATGCAAATAAACAATTCATATACAAATAATAAATTATAAAATAATAAAAAATACGAATCGAAAATATTATAGCTATGAAAAAATATAAATTATCGTAGATAGCATATATAACCTTCTACCCACTATATATTATCCTTCTAGCAAGCATATATTACCTTCTAGATGGCATATATTACCTCTCAGGTAGCATATATTGCCTCTTAGATAGCATATATTATCTCTCAAGTAACATATATTACTTTCTAGATGGCATAAACAACCTTTTAGCTAGATGTATATCATTTCCTAGATCTTGGCTAGCAAATTACATTACCTGGCTTAAATTACCTGGCTAGTAAAATATTATCCTTTGCTAGGATAGGATATATATAACTTTAGACATAGCATATATTACTTTCTAAATGGCATAAATAACATTTTAACTATCTCCACATAACACAGTTTATCTCATATCTCGTATTTATAATCATATTTTGACTAACAAACTACCTAACTAGTATATTATTACTTTTAGGTATAATACCTAATTAGCATATAATTAACCTGTTACCATCTTAGTAATAAGCATATTATTAGTGAAATTACTTTTATATGTTGATAATGATTGAGGAGGAAGTTTGAATGAAATTATAATAATACTGATAATCATTTCAATAAAAAAAAAAAAATCTAAGGAAAAACAATTTGATAATAACCTGTTAAAAACATCTTAACATTTTATTAAATTTAATTTAATAAATTTACATAATTTTCATCAAATGAATGATATAACGAATGATAAAAACAATATGAAAATGAAATGAAAAATAATTATTGCAATAATATAATTAATATTGAGGATAGATTATATCATAATTCTAAAGATTTACTGATAATAAAATCATAGTAATTAAGTAATTAATTTCGAATAAGCAATAATGAATTTGCTAAAGAATTCAAAGAGTGATTTAGCTTGCACTAAAATTTATAAAGAAATTTAGGATATGGAAAATAGCTGGATATTTGTAGTAAAAAAAAAAGGTAAATTATGCAAAAATATAGATAAAAGATTTAAAATAAATGAAAAAAAACAGAAAGAATGATAATAGTGAATTGACTAATTAATTAATCAATTAAT